TCAGTACCCAAGATTCACTATTAGTGCAAGAAAAATATGCTTGGACGCCCTAAGAAAGGCCCTATTTGGAAGTTTCCCCATTCTCCAAACTTGACAAATAGGGAATTTTGAGGTAGGAGCAAAGTACTTTCAAATATAGATTGCTTCCTTGGTAAAACTGCCGAGTCCTTTCAACAAGAAATAAATACCCAGAGGAAATTCTATTGGAGTAGAACTCCCACTGCACAAAAGCCTTTTACCATCTGGAAACACACCTAATTTAATCAAGTCTGTCTGAATCTCTGCCTCAGAGATGTAGAGGCTTTAGGGGTGCTGGGGCAGTTTGTGGGTCTCTTGTGACACTAAGGGTCTGGGGATGGCCAAGATGTCTCCAGGTTGTAGCTGTCACTTCTCTGCTGGTATCTAAAGCTTCTGTAATCACCAAGATGGACCAACACACCCACTGCAGTCCACTCACCCCATCCAATCTGAGAGAGATGGCAACAGAATCATTTGGTACCTGGTCCTACTCTTGGTCTCCTCTGACATTTCCCCGGTGACCTGCCATTTCATTAATCCTGCTGCTTTTCTGCCAGACATCTGCTGTCAGATTTCTAACCCATGCTGTAAAAACTATCAATGTTTTCCACACATGAAGAACTGTCAAGTCAGCCTCCCCCTGAGGCCACTCTCACTTGGTCTATTTCTAAAAGCTTTTTTGTAGACAAGGGCTCCTATGCTGGCAATTATCAGTGGCAGCAGAGAGACCGGAAGTGGTAGGAGACTACTGCAGTTTTATACAAAACACTGGGCTTATTTGGGGACCTAATGGTGAACACGACCATGTACTCTGGAGCATCTTTACTCATAGTGTCCAGCATAAAATTTCAAGTTCACAAGAAACACAGAAGAGTGGAATTGAGTGAATCTCTTCATGAGAAGATTCTGGTCTGCATTATTCTGATGGGTGCAGGGATCACACCCAGATTCTTACAGCGCCAGAACACAGGTCACTAAGACAGCCAGTTCATCATGACTCTCACATGTCACTCATGATAAGTCACACTTGAGTTACTCTATCACTCTATTCTGATGCTTTATTTTGTGTAATTCAAATATTACACAAATAATAGATGATATATGTTGAAAAAATAAAATCCTTTAATCAGCAGTGAAATATGGGGAATATTGATAGTCATGTTCAGGTAAAATTCAAATCTAAATCAAATAGAAATTCCAACATTTTCACTTCATACTAAACATATATTTTATTAATTTTTGTGCATAAAAATATAATTTTACATATAAAGATATATAAATATTTCATTGTTTAAACAGGCACAATAATGAGATTTGAGGAAAAATAGCAAAAAACAAGTCAATAATAAAACCAAAATCCAAACTCAGATTTAATTTAGAAGTTAATATTCTTTAATTCTGCTCAGAGAATTTTAATCTTAGTTATGCTGAAATTAAAATTTTAAAAATACTGAAAATATGGAGAATTCTTGCCTCACCAGAAGGAATCACTGTAATTGATTACAATGTAATTGAGAGTATATTCCTATTATTATTATGGAATGCTACATAGTCCTTTGCCTTCCAAGCTGAGATCCTGTGTGTGCTGCCTCTGGAGGTGGGGGACCCAGTGCTGAGCCTCCTGGGAACAGGGGGCATCACCCCACTCTTAGGATTGTAGTTACTCATTCCCACGTTTTAAAGTGATTCCTATTTCTACAAACATTTAATTGAAATCAAATTGTAATAAAAAGAGAACAGAATAAATTCACTTAAACGTTATTTGGTGAGCAAGTAACAGCCACTTTTAAATAAGGAAAAAGTTACACCTGGTGAATACCCAGGCATGTTGTTCAAGAGGCAAAACTAACTCAGTAGCGGGTATTTTCCCAAGATGCATAGTCCCTGGGAGTTAGAACAAGCTATGCAACACACCTAATCACAGAAAGCAGAGTGCAACTCAGGCATTTTACATTCCTTGAAGTCTTGGCTGGGGAAGAAAACCTAGAAACCTAGAAAATTTAATTGCCTTCTCCTGAGAAAACACATTAACGGACATATCTATGTGAACCACAAGAAAAGTTCCAATTTTATGTTCTGTGATTTTCTCACTGCTAACATCAGTTATATATTTCTCTTTTACAAAATACAAGTACATGTGTGCAAACAGTGAACAAATGAATTGCTACAATAGAGCAGAAAAATGACTTTTGATTCCTGTACGTGCATTTGAGGACATTTCCTCAATGTCAAACCAGCCAGTGACAATGCCAAACTTTTTATGTGTGATGCATGGGCATAAATCCATGCACGATAGTTTCCACTTTTTGTTGCTATTTGTACTAGAACATTCATGAATCTAGTTCTCAGCTAAACATTGATTGAAGTTAACAAGCACCTCTTCTGTCTGATTCACAGAGATGCCAGGTAAAATTCCCATCAAATGTAAAACTTCTATTAAAATTTTAATAGCAATAAAAGTGTGAAAGGATTTCCTAAAGAAAACTAACACCTGAGCACCTCTTCTTATATGTTATCCGACACCAAAATAATAGTTTTGCCACACATTTATACACCTGAAGTTAGAAAATGAATAATATTATAAAGTGTTAAATGAGTTTTCTTCCTTTGAATTCATCCCCCATCTTTTTCTTCTAGTTTTATGGAAAAAAGGGAAATTTTTGCCCTTACCAATTCTTAAATTGGGGCTTCTTGTTCCGCCTTATGATTATCAGTAACTTTTACAATGTAAAGTTAAATAAAGATGTGCATTTTCAAATTATATTTTAGAGAACATATAAAATGTTTTCTATTTTAGAGGACAGATAAAATATATATCATAAAATATATATGAAATATAAAATATGTCTATACATTCAGTTAAAATATTATTGGTCTCTGTTCAGAAGCAAAATTGTGTTACAGCTAAATTTAAATGATTCATATAAACATTTTATTTTATTTTAATGAATCTTTCTTAGCCAAATACTAAACTTCTGTACTTTTTCTTTAGCCAGCTAGCTCTTGTCATGCTATCCTTTTGAAAACATTACAGAACAGAACAAGAAGCAAGAAGAAAGGGGATATATATATATATATGAGTATGTATGTATATATGAATATTTATATATATATGGAAAGTGCATTCTCATTGTTCTGTGGTGACTGAGGTGATGAACAATCTTATTATATTTGATTTCATGTATTTGCGAGCTAAGTCAATTGAGAAAATCAGGCTCTTCTAAACAAAAATACTGCTTGTAAGATGTTCAATACATAGTTTTCTAAACTAAGGCCTGTTTTGTGGAGATGTGGGCCATTCAAAATTATATGTGAAATTTTGCATAACTGTCATTAATTTATTCTTAAAGATAAATAAAAATATCAATCTAGTCCAAATAAAAAATTCCAATCCCAGGTGAGAAGCATTGTGCTCTATTTATTCACACACTAGCTGGTAACGCTGTTCGCTCTGGGGCTGAGATCCTTCAGGTCGTGCATGTAAATTAGTGTTACTCAGAGAAATCATGAGTTTTTAACTTCCATGATCTGTGAAGAAACTGTCCCATTTGCTCTAAAGCTTAAAATCTTATAGATATTTCAAGGGTAGTATTCAAATTTTAAAATACATTGCTACTAAAACAACTGTTTTAAGACCTGTTTGACAAGAATTCAGGATTTCAAAGAATTCTTCAAAAGTAAACCAAGCTCTGACACAAGCATGACAAATCCCTCACTTCATTCCAACATATGAAAGAAACACTGACTGTTTTAACTGAAATTTAAAAATAGGCAAGCTTGTTTATCTAGAACAGAACTTGTAAAGATTATTCTTTTGAAAATAGTTACACTTGTTTTACTGAACAATATGTGTCACATCATCATATCAATTATGATCAGGAGAGTCAGTATTGCACATTAAGCCAGAGAAATAAAACTGTTTCTTTTTATGAGTCCTTTCTAAGATGTGTGTTTTGAAATTCTTTTTTAATTTAGAAAGGTTTTCTAAGGTGGACTGCTTATTAAATATACCTTCAGAGATAAATCTGCAGGAATATTGCACAGTTCCCATATATTTTTGTGATTCACTTTTTCCCTTCCACAAAAGGCAAAAAATCCAGGGGGAAGAGGAAATATATACATGTGTGGTGTGCTTATGGACATATGATAGATAGTTTCAAATGCTTGAATGCTCTTGGTGAATCAGAACAAAAAACGACTGTAGCAATATCACATTACATAATGTAACATTTTAATAAAGGTAAGATAAAGGTAAGATAAGTTATGCTATTGATTATAGCAATATGCAATATTTAATGATAATTGAAAGGTATCTATAAAACAAAAACCACTAAAGTGTAAGAATGTCTTAACTCGTAAAGTAATGAAATGTATTCTTCCCTCTGGACTAAGAATATAATGACCAAGAAATATAATCTGTTAGAACTGCACAACATAGTATTCAGCAGTGACTTTCAACTCAATATTCTCTATTGGAAATCAAAATATCAAGAGTTCAACAATATATTTTTGAATAAAAACTTAATTTTGAATAATAAGTGAATGATTTACTCTTGTGCTGATAGCAAAACACCTGTTGCCAACCGAAAACGTGACTGTACTTCCAATCCCTCTAGCATGAACCAATCAATGCGTGATAGATGGGAGAGCTCAAGAATCTCTCACCCGGATAGACACAATATTCTTTGGTGTAAAAGTATAAGTAAAGTAAGTAAAGGCCCTCCCGTTGTTCGTTGATTTGCTCGAGCGGGCCCAGTAACGTCTCCATTGGAGACTTTGTTGTTACTGTGTCTGGCATATCAAATACATCACGGGGGGGGGGGGGGGGGCTTGCCAGGCTCTGCCGTGCGGGCGAGATACTCTCGGTAGCTTGCCGGGCTCTCCGAGAGGGGCGGAGGAATCCAACTCGGGTTGGCCATGTTGGCTGCATGCAAGGCAAACGCCCTACCGCTGTGCTATCGCTCCATACCAAGTAGCTAAAATTGGAAACTATTATACCATTGATAAAAAGTATAAGTACAAAAACATGTAAAAGGCTATTGAGTATAAATTTCTTTATAAATCATAATAATATATTCCTTCATATTATGCAATAATAGGTTAAAATCATGTATGAACAGGTTAAATTAAATAATTGTGTCTAATGCATGCCAAAGGAAGGCAAATTTTCCTAGACAGATAGGAAAGAATAAAAATATAAAAATAGATACTATATAACATTTGCAGAATAATATCCATGAAGCTTAAGGCCTATTGATGTCAAACAAAGGTGCCCGTATCAGTAGTGAGGAAGATTAGATATTGACACAAACTACCCGTATCAACAGAGTCCTGTGCTCAATTTTACAACATTTAATACATTAGTTTGGAATTGATCCAAATCAAGCCTACTCTATCAGCATGTAGAAAAATGCAATCTGGAGTTTCAATTCTTAATTTTGATCAGCCTTCCATTTGTTCAGCCAAAAACAATTTCAAGAGGAAGAAGGCTAGTATTCCCACAGGAGCAAGGGCAGCTCTCACTTCTTTCTTGCATCTGTAATAAAAGTCAACAATGTTCTCTCTAAATGTGAACACTGAAATCATCATATGAAATATTCTTCAGGGCTCTTTGGCTTTCAGGTTAAAGAAGCAATGGGACCTGTCCTGTGACACATTCTCAGTTTAAGTAATCAGATTTCAGAAAAGTTTGCTATTCTTTGGCATGACACAGTTGTTTGATTTGGCTGAGTTTTAAGTCTTAGCAATTGCACTCATTTCCTCTTTAGAGTTATGGTTCATCTCAACTGTTTTCAGCTGAAAGATTCTTTATTGTATTCAAATTTTGTCCCATATGGGTTGCGATGGTTACTCAGTTTATGAAGAATCTTGGAAATGGAACTGGGTCCACAGCAAAAGACACCAATTGTTTTCCTGGGAAAAGAGAGAAAATGGACATTTAGGTAGTTAACTATCCAGCATTTTAAAAAACAGTATACCTTATGTACATGTCAAAGTATTAAAGAAGCAAATCTCTTGCAACTTTACATATTAAAATATTTCCAATCATTTAAAGACATAAATATCAGAAAAGCCTTTATATTCCCCATACTTTTATACTATAATTCAAATGATGTAAATAGAAGCTCATACATGCTCTCTGTAGAACAGCAGGTAGGCAAAGTCTTTTCACCACATACCTTGGTGTGTTTATTAAACTAATCAAGAGCAGCTACTGATAGAGGGCATCCCCCTGGATCAGGCTAACTCTTCTCTACTAGAATCACACGCAGGTTTTCTTAATATTCCATTGACTTACATGTCAGCAATTATTAAGAGAAGAGAAATAGAAGCTTTTACCAAAATTGAAGGAGGATTCTGACTAATTTAACTCTACGTGGAAATTCAAAGTCCAAACCTGAATGCATTTTCTTTCTTTTGTAGTAAAGCACAAAATGACTGCAACAAATGCTAAGAAGGTTTTATTATTTCCTCACATAAAATTTTGTTGGATAAATTATACATATCCTTAACAATAGATTAAATAAATCCCAGGTAATGAATAATATTTCACATTATATCACTCCTGACACACTCCAAAGTTTGTTGGTTTTCATCAATTATTCCTAGGAAATAATAATTTGTAGTTTATGTCAAAAGTACACTATGCCCTTATAAGTGACAATAATTTGTGCTGAAATTGGAATAATCAGTCCACTAAATGGCACCAAAGTTTTATGACAAATACTAGAAAATGATTTTATATAAGGCTTTTATTTTATATATCTTATGTACTTATATATTTTATATAAGCCTTTAACATTAAAACATAATTTAATTTTAATATAAATTTAATTTATAAATTTTGACAGAATGTAAGATTTAAGCAGCTTCAGAGAGAGAAGGAGAGAGTTTACAGAGTACATATCTTGCATCAATGCCAAGCCAATTTGATTTTTGGCACCACATAAACTCTGGGTGAGACACTTGAGACCATAGGTCCCAGAGCACTGAGGGGCTGGCCTTGCTGGCTCCACGTCATGGAGAATATCCCCTTCACCTCTAGACACCCCCACCAGTACAGGAGGGATGGAGATTAGGAGGATTAATAAATAAATAAGCAAGTAAATAAATAAATAAATGAAACAACTACAAAATGGAACTTTCATTTGCACCCATTCATACTTATGTGGGACTTTATGTCTTAAAAACTTATGGGAAATATATGTAAACCAGTATTTTGAGATACTGGATAATAAGCAACACAGATCTATGTGGGATCCCCGAGAGGACTCGAGAGAAGGTGCCACAGTGAGCCCAGCAATCAGCCACTCCTGAAAGTTGGCCTGCTGCTGTTCTGAGAAGGAAATGTTTCGGAAGGCTAGCAGTCTTACGGGGCTTTTGATCACTGTATAACTGAAACCCAAGCACAAGTCTACAACTGTACCTCATGGTGTCTCACTAATAAAAATTAAAAAAAGAGGACTGGAGTTCACGAGAATTAAAGCTTTTAGACTTTTGTGGTGCACACAATGCAGAGGAAGAGGGAATACAAAAAGGAGAGCAGCAAATGACACACACTTTGACAAATAGCGACAAAGATGAATCATTACAGCATTTAAGACAAGTTGTAAATAGTTCATAATCCCAAAAGTCACAATGAGAAAAAACACAGCAACCTAACTAAACAATGGGAACAAGATTTGAAGAACATTTGTTCTTCGGAAGGGACTGGAGAGACTGCACTGCGGGGAGGGGCCTGCTCTGTGCTGCGCCTGGGTTTCTCTCTGGCAGCACACGGTGCGCTGATGCAGAGTCAGGCTCAAACCCACAGCACTATGGGGCGGCCCAGAAGCACGCATACATACATGCATACACACATCCATTTCTTCCATAGAAGAAATACAGATGGACATCAGGTGTTTAGCAACAGAATCATCAAAAAGCATATTTAAACTTAGTAAGATTAATCGCTGATAAGCAAGAGTAGCAGACCAAGTCGGATGGGATGTAAAGTTAAAGGCAATCAATCTGATTAGAAAACAGTAACACACAAGGCTTAGACTGTTTTAAAACATGCTAGTGATCTCTTATACAAGGCCTTGATGGCTCCAGGGTGAGATAGAACAATCTTCACACACTTTTACTAAGGAAATCTTTTTTTGATCATTTGTACCGAATATGGCAGTTCTTCAACATTAAATTAAAAAACAGGACTAAGGGTTGAAGTGAGGGCACAGAGTTAAGGCACTGGGTTCAATTTCCAGCACCACATATGGTTCTCTGAGGACCACTGGACTGATCCTTGAACACAGACCCAGGAGTAAGCCCTGAGCACTGTTCACTGTTGCCCCCAAACAACAACAAAATAGGACTAGGTATGATCCAGAAAGCCTATTACTCATAATCATTCAGAGATGACAGCACTCTCTTGTTTATCACATGGATTACAACAGGCAAGCCAAAGAAATAACCTAAACTATCATCAACAATAATGAATTAACAAACATAACATGTGAGATATTACATAATTACATGTATACTTCTAGAATTGTGATCTACCACAATGTTAATACAATGTTAATGTGGAGTATTAGTCTCCAGTTATAATGACTTTCTGCTTTCAACAACATCAATGACACGAGGGTATTATGCCGAATGAAGTTACAGATAAACACTTTATGATCTAACTTGTAGAAACAAAAAGTGATGAACTCATGAAAGAGAGGCACAGACAGGTAGTTTGGGTGGGACTTGGTGCATGGCTGATGACGAGTTCAAACTCTCTGTTAAAATATTAGTGATTTAGAGAATGATCCGGGTTTGATTCCTCTGTCCCTCTCAGAGAGGCTGGCAAGCTACCGAGAATATCCTGCCTGCAAGGGAGAGCCTGGCAAGCTCCCCATTGCCTATTCGATATGCCAAAAGCAGTAACGACAAGCCTCACAATGGAAACATTGCTGGTGCCCACTCAAGCAAATCGATGAACAACGGGAGAACAGTGCTACAGTGCTTAGAGAATGTAATAGGCAGTGTTATAGTATATAGCAAATATAATTAACAATACTATATTATATATTTTAAAACTGTTAACAGATCTTAAATGTGCTTACAACATACACATGATATATGTTAACTAACTTTATTGGAATGATATTTCTGTGATATATGTAAGTATATATACACACATATATATATATATAGTATCATATAGTATACCTTAAATATGCAGAATATTATGTCAGTTGTATCTCAAAGAGATGAAAAATAATTCCATTCTAGGCTTTATACATGAATTAAATAATAAAATGAAACAATAAAATAAATATTTAACACTGCAACTAAGAGCTACAAAAGAACTACAATATATACTAAACCAAAAATTGTAACTCTGAAAATACAGATAAAACAAGAATTATAATTAAAGAACTCAACATTATTCTCCAGTTATTTCTAGAACATGTAACAGAAAATAAATAGTATGTTGAATACTATCAGTTGAAACTGACATGTAAATAGAGCATTAATCACTTAATCACTTAACTTCCCGTTAGTCGTCGATTTGCTCGAGCGGGCGCCAGTAACGTCTCCATTTGTCCCTGTCGCGTGCTAGTGTAGCCCAATGGCATCTCTTCGCTCCGGGAACATGGAGGGCCTCAAACCGATCGTTCATGACCTTGACAAAGAAGTCTGACCATCTGGTAGGTGGGCGGCCACGCGGTCTCTTGACATCCCGTGGAATCCAATCAGTAACAGCTCTAGTCCAACGGTCGTCTTTAAATCTCATTACGTGACCAGCCCATCTGATTTTCGACACCTTGGCAAATGAGACAGCGTCCCTGATCCTTGATCGTCGATGGATGTCAGAACTCCGGATTCGTTCTCTCATTTGAGTGAAACGTGATATTCCAAGCATAGCTCTTTCTATTCTTCTTTGGGAGACCTGAATGGCATTCTCATCTTGTTTGCGTAGGGCCCAGGTCTCTGAGGCATATGTTAATGCAGGAAGAACAGTGGAATCAAAGAGATGTGCCCGGAGCCGGAGGTTTTTCGTCCTCTTAGCTATTTCTTCGACGTTCTTGAAGGCGTTCCAAGCCGCTCTCTTCCTCCTGCGCAGCTCGGGTGCCAGGTCATTTGTCATGTTGACCTCTCGACCTAGGTACACATAGCTGTTGCATTCAGAGATGGTCGTTCCATTGAGAGCGAATGGGGCGTCAGGAACAAGGCTGTTTCTCATAAACATTGTCTTCGTAAGATTCAGCTGTAGTCCTACCTTTCCACACTCACGGTCAAAGTCGGCCAGCATTTGTGCCGCTTGGCTGATGTTTGGTGTTATTAAAACAATGTCATCAGCAAAGCGGAGGTGGTGTAGTTGCCGACCATCTATCTTCACTCCCATTCCTTCCCATTCCAGTCGTCGCATGATGTTCTCGAGGGTGGCACTGAAGAGTTTTGGTGAAATGGTATCACCCTGCCGCACCCCTCTCTTGACATCAACGATCACTTCTTTGTAGAATGGTGAGATCCTGGTAGTGAATCCACAATACAGCTCACGGAGGATCCTGATGTATTGGGCTTGAATGCCCTGATTGGCTAGGGCTTCAATGACCGCTTCCGTCTCAACAGAATCAAAGGCCTTCTTTAAATCAATGAACGTTAAGCAGAGCGGCATCTTGAACTCCCGAGAAACCTCAATGAGTTTGGTTATCGTGTGGATATGGTCGATGGTGCTGAATCCTTTGCGGAACCCTGCTTGCTCACATGGTTGTCCTTCATCTAGTGTTCTGCCAATCCTATTCAGGATGACTCGAGTGAACAACTTGTAGATGACAGACAATAGGCAGATCGGGCGATAGTTGCCAATGTCATGGATGTCTCCCTTCTTGAACAGTAGTACGGTCCTGCTGGTTTTCCATTGAGATGGAACCTTGCAT